GTAGATTATATTAACAATAATTGCGTTTATATACAAATATATAAGATATTTGTCAGTCTGTAATGGAATGAAGTTTGAATACAATTAGTCTAGAGAGGTCTTGGCGTGCATCAAAGGTAGTTTTTCATACGGGAACAGTTGGAATTATCTTCGCTTTATAATTACATATTAAGTTGGTAAAAGCTGTCGTGAGTCTGTCAAGCACGCAGTTCGCTATTTAGCAAATTATACATGCCGTCGCTCATGTATAGAACCTAGACTGGCTACGTCAAGCGCAACCACTTAACAACTTGCACGCCTATATGTATGTATGCACAGATCTAGTTACAATCCGTAGGCTATACCTTGATATAGGCTAAAACATACGTAGTTAAATTCTTTAATTTTATAGCATAGTTTATTTAGAAAATGAAGTACTTTTTTGTAAAGAAATTTACTAATAGTTATTAAATTAGTATATGATGTTGGATATACATTCTTCTATGAGTTTCAATTTTATTGGTAAAGTTTATTTTTAAAATAATGCTGTTCCATGAAATATACGAATAGTTATGAAATTAGTTTATAGCCAAAGTTGAGCCGTTTTATTTGCAGTGCTGCAATAATTAGTGCGGAATTGGAAACGGGCAAATATAAATAAACTAGGAATAGATATCAATTTTCTGAATATGTTTTTATCTTCGGCAGAGGCCATTAATTACCGCCGTAAATGTTTATAGGCTATGAATGCCCGGCGCATTCACCACAACGTTTATTGCAGTGTGGCGAAAAAAAATATCAAAATGCATACTCATATATATATATTTATATGAAAAGTGTGGATGAGAGAGCGAAAGAGATAGAAAAAAAAGCCAATCAACTATAAATCAGTAAGCCGCACCAATAACTGCTTTTTATGTATATTTTAACCTATTCTGTTTCCAGCCGCAATATAAACCAACGGTGTATGAAGTGCACAAAACCGGTTCACATAACGATGTTATTAAAAACGCATATTTTGTTTGTAAACTCAACCCTTTGATATGGTTACTAATGACGAGCGAAGCAAAAATCTACCATATTTGTATGTACGTGCATGGACTTCTGGTTCAAGTGAAGAGTATCGGATGGAAACGGGATGCACATGCATTATGTATATAACATGTTTCCTCGACTTTGGAGCCGATAAATCTCGAGGATCTCTATCTATTCCTGCCTCTTTCCCAACTCCTCTCTTCTCTCTACCAGCGAGACGACCCATTAACGAAACCGTCCTTAAAAGCAAACATTTTTTACGCCGTTGTCCACATGTGGATTTTATGGAACAATTTACGGTTATTGGAAACCGAAAGTTCGGCCCAATAAATCGGAATCGCGCCACCCTCTCAACCCTAGACTCTCCTCGTAAATACACTCAAAATGTATTCCTCGACACGGATTGAAAATTCTATATTGTCCGGCCCCGCTTCAAGAAGAAAAAAGGATGGTGCATCGATTGGGTTTAAAAAGGGAGAGATGGAACGGATATTTATATGAGGGGGAGGGAGATGTTTTGTTTCTGTTTTGTTCGGCTATTCTAAATTCAAACGAGACCTAAAAAGGCGATTCAATATCGTCGGAACATTAGGAAAACGCTGCCTCTACTGCTTTTGCCGCATTTGCTGCGATGCACACAATAAAATACCGACCCATCCTCGGGCTATTTAACCCTTATTGTCTTTTCCACGGCTTCTCAGACTATTCCATGGATTGAATATTATTTACATATATGTTATTGTACTAGTCTATAATAATTTTAAACCTAACCTATTATTAGTTAATATATACATTTACTACATTTACTTCGTCTCTATCTTATATTGGATTTATGATAATATTTTAATTCTTAATCGAAATATTAAAACTCTAGATATTTCAATAAATGTTATTAATATATTTAATTATTCCAATTATAAATAATAATAAAGAATGTCTATCTACAATTTTCGTTATTATTTTTTCAGCCAGTTTTTTTGGTGTAATAAATAGTTGGCTTTTAAAAGATATTTAGTTTTCTTTCTTTTTTTTTTGCTCGTCGTGCAAATGTGGTGGGAGGAATATGTCTAACTATGCTGTAACTGAGACTAAAGTTTTCAAATGGATGCCACCTTGGAGGATTTGAGCAGAAATATAGAATAACGAATTGGCCGAAGAAGCGACCAAATAAAGTTTTTTTTTTACGATCGAAAACTTTCTTAATATACGCTTTTTTTTAACTGAACTACACACACCGAAGAGATATATTATTACTTCCATGAAATACAATTTTGAATGCATTGCTGTAGTCATGTAGTTTTTTTATGAATTAAATTTAATGTTTGTTCCATATATTTCTGTATGATATCTTGTTATTGCCAATAGATTTACTCCTATCAACTAATCTTTTGTCGAGTCTTCCAGAACAAATCCTTTTCTTATCTAAACCTACCCCAAAGGATAACAACCTCTTGTTTTTTTGTACTTCCTATACCCGGCTCTAAGTTATCTTAATGTCTTAGTGATAATAACCTAACCTATAGAATAGTGGTTCCTAGTCCATTGTAAATAACTCTAGGAATTTTAGTAAGTCAGTGAATTTATATTTATAAGTACATGGTTTGTCATATTTACATTAAAACTTCATATTTGATTATTTATTTTTATAGTGTATACATTGTAAAATGTAAAGCTTTAAAAAAAATAGTCTATAATGTCTGTAACATTGATGTTAGTATTTAACAACAAACTTTAGTATAAAATATCGTTATTCTATAATTACCAAAGTATAAAAATTAATATTCAGTACAAACGCATTTCAATAAATATTACAAATTAGCAGATTACGTCATAAATTGTAACTTTTAGTTAAGCATAAATCTTTTATAGTTATCAAAGTACAACAATCAATAACAGTATCCACAAAAATATTCAAAATACTTAATTTATATGTTATGTTATCATTAATAGTATATATTTCAAGAATTTCATAATTTTCAGTTTGTTCCAAAAGCAAATGAACATAAATTCATAATATCTCTAGCGTTATCATGTTATAAACATTACATGTAATCGACATGTAGATTGTACGTTACGAATACTTCTGATTTCGGTGCGGCGTTGCTATTAATGCTGTTTCAGCTTTTACTGTGCTTTATCAAAATTAGCGTTACATAATACAATTCGCGATTGAAATTGAGCCATGAATCTTTCGCGCGCGTATACATCCCGAATGCATTTTCGAATGTGTTTGATGGAATCGAAATTCGGTAAAACCAGTTTCGGGGGCATTCGAAACGCGCATAACATTTGATTGCAACAGTGACCACCATCCATTATACCCTTCTCCCCCATCCTCCGATTATGGGAGTACAGTAATCACGTGTAATGGAACTGTTTTCACAGTCGCAGTTTTAAGCGCACCACCCCCAAAATTTTCGCAATTCCAATGAAAATCATGCATAGATGCATGCGGGGATACAGAGGAGAGATATATATCAAAACGAACTGGCCTGGTTTATTCCATATCACTACATTTAATGTCGCATAAATATTAACTATAAATATAGATTCACACGCAGATTGAACATTTTATGGGAGGCATGTCGAGCGATGCAGGAACTTCCGGATTATGGCTTCCCGTTGTTTATACTTTTAGCAAGCGTTCGAATACAGTTCATCTTTGAAAAAATAATAATTTCAATTCAATTGGATCTTAATTTTCTAGAAAATATCCAGGAAAGATAAATTATTTCTAATCAGAAAATTCATGCATATCAATTTTTTTTTTTCAAAGAGTTAAACAACAATATCTTGTGCTAAAATGATGAAGCTTGGGTAGAGCTTTTACAGGACGCATATCCTTTTGGAGAAAGAAAGAGGATGAGATCCATCCTCATCACGCAAATGTATCCGCGAGACGTTTACACATTTATTTCATGTTTCCCTTTCACTTTGGGCACCGTTGCCATGCGTCTTTGGATGCTGTTAGTGTTAACGTGGATGCTGGAATTAGGCCAAAGGGATGGAAGCTTTCATCGCAATAGGAAAATCCCGGAGCATTTTGTTTGTGCGGGCGATGTATGTGTATGTCGTACATAACCATTAATAAATTTATTACCCTCCACCCCTCAGTACGTAACGTAACCATCTGCGCGTTGAATAAAATATTAGCCTCGAATTGAATTAGGCAACATCGCAGATAAATATATTCAATTTCATTCCGTTTCCACTATTTTACACACTTCAAATCAATTACTTGCATCTACACGAAACGCATTTACAATTCGCTACAAAAGATGCGCTCGAAAGTTTTTCACAGCTGTGCTGTGATGATGTTTAGCAAGTGCACTTAAGGTACAGAAGGATTCTTTAATAATGACGAGACGCATTTGGAACAATGTAAATGTTTTCAGTGTAATCCGGAAGCTGGGAGTGAAATTTTAATATATTCCTTTCAGTATTTTGACAAACTTCCACTAGCAATTATGGTGGTATTATAATACTCCCCTTGTTGCTCCTTTTCTTTTCCATTTCCCGAGACGTATTTTTGTGTTTGCAACTTAATTTGCGAATGCCATTTGCATCTTAATCGCGGTCCTACATTTCCCATAAAATCCCGACAAGGAAATTTCTGTTTAATTAGCTTTTATCTACACTAATTGCCCATATAATGTCTCAATTCCCAATTTTACACCGGAAAAGTTTTATGATCAAATTAATAAATTTTAGTCATAATTGCTTTTAAAAATGATATTTGAACAATAAATTATTTATATTATGTAAAATTTTACATTTTTTTTGTAAATTGTCTAAACATATTTAAAAAAATAGAATATTAATTATTTTTACAAATGATCATAATTTATACTAAGTAATAAAAGTAGTAAAATAAATCTTTTATAATATATGAACAAATATTTAATGATAACCTAAAGCGAATTGTTTAATAAAAAAAAATCATATGGAAATAAAAAAATTAATTATTATTGTTAATCGTTTTCAGAATGACAGTCGAATACGAGCCTAAGAGTCCTGAAGCCTTGCTGAAGATATCCCCCGTTAAGGTTGAAGACGAGGCCAGCTACAAATGCGAGATAACATATCTGGAAGTACGAGAGAACTGCGACGTTGTGCAAATCATCAAGCTATCAACTCTAGGTAAGTTTTTAAAATTATTTTAATTTTATTCATTTGGTCATCGCATTAACCTTTAGTTAGTCAAAGTGAAGCGAATTCTATTTTATTTTTTCAAATAACTTTTGATTGAAACATGTAAATTTTTCACTATTAAAATTACGCATTAATATTTTTCATAAACTTATTATTTTATGTGCTTTTGTGGATTACTTATTAACTTAAAATTCAAACTATAAGTCTGTTAAATATAAACTGATGTAACTATAGAAAAAAATATATGGAAGAGAAAAAAATAGTAACATTTCTTTTATGACATTTTGTAATTAAGTAACTTACAATAATTATATATTTTAACTATTATTTTATTGGAATATATATATGTGAATTTTAAAAACTCTTATGAAACATTTCTCTAAATATGTATATTTTAAGTACATTATTAAATAAATATGTATTAACAAAATTGATTTTTTGAAAATTAATGCTTGAAATCTAAACAATATTTGCATTAAAGTAAAGTATTAATGTTTGGAAAGATTATTATAATATTATAAAATAATTGAAAATCCCTTTGTATTATACTAAATGAAATAATTACATATAAATGGATGAATGGAATAATAGCAAGTATTATTACATGAAGTAGCTTCATTATTTACGTAGATGTTGAAGTGCGAAAAGCCATTGGATATTGGTGAAGTCTGATCATGTGCTGAGAGAGGGTGATTCGATATTTATGGAACCAGTAGTAATATTAACTCAATTATGCGCACCATTATCAAGTTTCCATGGGGGTGCTGAAAGCGTTGACCATATATGTATTCACTTAACCGATCACTTTGGTTTTGGAGAACACTGCCGTTGCCAATTAGTCGACACTCCTTGTCGGTAATTAAAGCGCCGACACGTTTGAGCACTCGAGTGGGGTTTCAACTTTCTTAGGTTAGGCACACTCGTTACAAGTGCTATGTTTGTCACACCGTATTACTTGGAATATATTCACCATCCTCTTCATTCATCGTGCTGGATTCCCGTTTTGGCAAACATACCCTTTGCGATCTATTTACTTTTTAGAATCAACAACACGTACTTAGCTAATTTCCTGCGAAATCTATTTACACAGAAAATTAGCACGCATTCACCTTCTTGTTTCTATTATCTACGATTCAGTAACGTCTCATATAAATTTTTGAGGTTGAAGAAGCTCTACCAACACCAACTGTACTTTTTAAAATCAACAACACTTAGACAATTTTTTGTTGTTTCCATTGTCTACGCTTCAGTGGCCTCTCATGAAATTTATTTAGGTTGACCAAGGTTAGTAGCAACGTATTTCAGACTGCAATTTCACCAACCCCAACTACATTTTTTTAAATCAACAATACCTATTTTGCTAATTTCAGGCGAAATTGCAAGCATTCTCCTTATAATTTCGATGCTCAAACTATATTGTCTTAACGTAAAAATTATGTTGTCTTGATGTTACAAATGATGCACTACCAACGTATCTCGGGCTCCAATGTTACCAGCCCAAACTACACGAAAATCACTACGTTATTCCTACAATTTTTGTAAAGGTAAGGTCTGCATTCAATGCAGCTCCAACTTTGAGACATTGCTATAGTCAGTTATATTTATAGCAAACATCATTTTATTACATAATTATATTTTTTTATTCTCTATAGCTAAATTAGTACTAATTAGTATTTTAGTACAATAAAAAAAAACTTAGTACATAATTAATAATACAGGAATTATCAATTTCTACTAGAGGAGCTACAGCCTCTTATTGACGAGGCGCTACTGAATATGTTGCACAACAGTACAGCAGATTTATTTCAGACTGCGTACTGTTTTCCTCGCTTCAGCACAGCGGTGTCGTAATAACCAACACTTAATTGCGTAAGGGTCTAATAACTCGGCGGTGTTGGGGACACCATCCATCATGCAGACTTCTGCAAATATTCCATTGTCCTGGCTGCTTCAGATTTGCGTTGACGTCACAAACTTGCCGAAATAAATCTATGCTCTATTGTATAATCCTGTGCGAATAATAATAACTGCACAACTTATTGTTACTAAACTTATAACTTCTTGCACTTAACTCAATTCTCCTGTACAGATTCTTTCAGGCAAAGTTTCATTACTTAATTTTCTACGTTCCTCAATAATATTTTTGAAAAACAGTTTTCAGTGATAATTACTTTTAATTTGTACATTTTTTTCAATTCATCGAATAAATTTACTTTTAAACTAAAATTAATTATTTGAATTATCATTACAATTTTCTGATCTCAATAATACTTTATCTGAGGTTATCAGAAAAACAGATCAAGTTGAAATAGAAATAGAAAGATATTCAGTTCGAATAATGTTCAGCTGTTGGTAAAATATTGAATAACGTCTACTTCGTTGTACGGTCGAAAAAGAAATAATATATTGAAAGGAATTACCGCATAATGGAAAAGGTTATCAGGCTAAAGCTTGACATATACTGTAAGGAAACTCTGAAAGAGAATATAAAGCCTGCCAAGTAAACTAAAATCGATATCATCATTCCGCTCCAACGGCAGATCAAATGCTTGAATATTATTAAAATATTTCCTCCTTCTTGTATTTCACTATATCTATCTGATTAAACTTATAACATAGAGTAAAACAAACATTCTAAGTTTTATTCAGTGGTTCATGGAAAAAAAATAAAAAGCACTATATTTTTATTGTTAATAATTATACAGTTATGTAAATAATTACGGACAAAATACTATAGATTTTAAGTCTGAAATTTCTCAGTAATATTATTGCATTAACACAAAATATATGACTAGAAAACAATGTTGCAGTTTTGGCAAATGCGTTATCCCTTAGATCCTGAGGCATAAATTAATTAAGTGCGAAGTGGTGGGTGTAATTAACGTGATTCAATGTTTAGATATTAATTACCAAACATGTATTGGATATTAATTTCGCTGCGGTTTCGGTAACAGATTGCGGACTACTCTCCACCTCCCTCTCTCTCTTCTTAGTATGTAAGTGTGTCGTGCCCCGCAGGGCGAAGGGGTTGTTACGTAAGGGAAGTCCCTTTGGGAGAGAGATACAGAGGTAGTGCAGCAATCAATGATTGAAATACAACAACCAATGGCGATGTTATCATCTTGCATGGACGTCTTCCGTAGCATTATGTATTATGTACTTTGCTGTTTGGCGAGGGCAAACGGGTGGGAAATTAAAAAGCGTTCTCTGCGCGATACCTAGAAATGATTTACGTCGGACCGACGTTCTACGTAATAAATCGCGATGGGATTTTCCACTTGGCCGTCGCCGTGTTGAACACTTTCCAGCCGGAGATGGGCTGATTTATGTTCCGGCCTGAAAACGAAGAGATCTCTATACACAAACGCATACAAACACATCCTGCGCCCTTCTTCTACTCCTTGTTTTTCTTCTTTTCCTTTTGCTTCTGCGGGAACACGAGAAATACTCTTAAATATATAGATTTCCTTTTGTTTTCCTTATGCTCGGCTAGCACAGGGATATAAATTCTGGCCTGCGTAGCTTACAACGAACACAGAAGAAGCTATGCACCTCGTGTGCTTGAATGAAAAACATGCTCACAGCCCAAACATCCTCCAATGTTAATTACGTTATTACCATTCCTAAAAAAAAGTAAAGTAATCTTCATACAATTGAAAATATATTAAACTACTTTAATTAACTCATCTTGCAATATACAAAAATGGATAATTTTTTAACAATGATGTATTTTGTGATGTTTATAATTGGTATAATTTCTATTAGCTTGGAAAGATCTCTGCAATTTGTAAGATTTTATGTATAAATAGTTAAATTTCACATATTAAAATCTTGATCTTGTACTATTTATGTAAAAATGTAATAGACTGTTTGAAAGAAAAGTTTGAATATAAATATATCATGTCAAAATAGTAATGGGACACGTATTATATAGTTTTTTTTCCGTGTCCCTTTTATTGTTATACATGACGTATAACCATGGGGATGGAAAGCTATGTATATATGCATTCGAAATTTTGTAAAAGGAGGGTGGTATTTTTTGAAAGCCTTATGGATCCCATCTCGCGTCGATTCTTTCTTTCCTACAGCCGTTTATCAGAGATGACCCAAATTTGTCGGTACTTCTCAGTGTGTACATATACCCATACGTACTATAGCATATATAGAGGGACGCACGTAGAGTCGGTATCGGCCTCGTGATTTCTTACCCGGAAACAGACCCGATACCGAGCATTAATCTCGTTCCGGACGTGAACCCGCGACCTCCATGCCACGCCACCACCCCCGAATACCATGCCAACAGCCGACACCACCGCCACCATCCAACAACCCCTACGTCTCTCTGCCTGCAATATATGTTGGCTCTTTTCACACCGCACATCCATATTTCGTCACGCGTCCGTATTATTCTTGCACTATATCGGAAGCATCGACCAAATTTATTGCCCGCATCGGAAATATATTTGTGTACATATCAAACAAACAGAAATTGTTGTGAACGTGCCATCATTTCATCGAATACATGCCCTCCCTGTCTGCCTTCACCCTGCACCATCGAACACTACAATCTCACCGATATGACACATGCCTTCCTTGCAGAATTGTATTTCAATGGACTCGGATTTACTTCTTCAATGCACACACACACACACTTCAGAAGACTCAAGAAAATACATGATCATAATTTATAGCAACCTTTCAATATCTCCCATACAAATAGATCCATGAATATTCTAATTAAAGTCGCAACTGAATATCAATTCACCAATGCATTTCCATTAGAACTATGTTACATAATATGTTACGTTAAGTTATGTTACAATAATATTTCTACAAATTATAACTAGAATTAAAAAATAATTAATTTATTATGAAAATTGACAAATAAATTTAATTTTTACAATTTTTTAAATAAATTTTTAAATTAAAGAAAAAACTCGTATAAACTTATTTTTCTATTATTGAAATTAATATTTAGTGATTTAATA